ATCTGTATCGCTTCTTCCTCACTAGAATCAGAGGGGAACTGGAGCCTATCCCAGCTGATTATGAGCGAAAGGCAAGAACACACCCTGAACAGCTCAACAATCCATTGTAGGGCGCACACACCATTCACTCACGCACTCCTGCCTGTGGGCAATTTAGAGTCTCCAGTTAGCCTGACATGCATGTCTTTGGACTGCGGGAGGAAACCAAAGTACCCTGGGGAAACCTATGTGAACGCTGCAGGAACATGCAAACTCCACACAGTAAGGCCCCAGGCCAGAGTCGAACCCACAACCTTCTTTCTGTGAGGTGGCTGTGCTGTCCTTCGGCAGGGGGCCACAATAGCAAACGTTCATCCATGGGCAGCACAAGATTACATCTTATCGGTGCATATGAAGCCTATGATCTAAATATTTTTTTCCCTTCCCAATCAGATAACATAATCGCTGTCATAAAAAAATATTGCATATTATTTGTATTTCAGCATTAGCAGATGGAACAGCTTCTATTCAAACAACACAGATTGTTAACTGATAGTGCTAAAATCATATGTTGTTACTTCCCATGCATCGGTTGGGAATGAGAAACAAAATTTGTCATCAACATACACCTTGAAGGTAAATGTTTTTAAATAGGATTTGCAGAATTTTGAATTAAATGTCAAAATGTTAATAGGACATTTAAAGCATATAACTAAATGATGTAGGCCCCTTACATTTGGATTTATGTAAAATAAGATTTTATGGTTACATTTGAAAATAAAGTTTAGTCTGCATATAAATGGCGCTGCCTTTCACAGTGTTTGTGTGCAGTGGAATACAAAAAGATTTCTACATCATTGGAGATTCATCTTAAATTCTTTTTTCTCATCTACACATAATACTCCCCTGAGACAAAGCAAAATAGAATTTTTTGGCAGGTTTTGTAAAAAAAATAGCCCCGCGAAGTGAGCTTTACCCCTCAGCCCCTGGATTGTTCGGAATGAATATAAATTCACGAAGGCGGTTTCAAGTTATCTTGCAGAATACAAAATTCAAGATGGCGGCTGTGGCGGCCATACTGGACATCCGAGTGCCATCAAAATCGATAATCATCTGTAGGTACACAGGACCAAGCAACACAGCAAAAATGGCGTAGATTGACGAAGCCATTTTCAAGTTATTGTGCAGAATACAAAATTCAAGATGGCGGCTGTGGCAGCTATACTGAACATCCAAGTGCCATCAAAATCGATAGTCATCTGTAGGTACACAGGACCAAACAACACAGCAAAAATGGCGTTGATTGACGAAGGCGTTTTCAAGTTATCGTGTGGAATACAAAAGTTTACGGGACAGACAGACGGACAGACAGACAGACAGACTTAGGACATCGCACGTGATGACGATACGTCTCTGCCCCCTAGTCGGGGCTGAGAGGTAGAAACTGAAATATGCCATTTGAAAGTGACAGGTCTGAATATTAATATAGATGGCATAATTCAGTTGTTCAGGTATTTCAGTTTTAATGACTATAGCAGTGTCCAGTCTGCTTTTCAACATTACAACAGCAGTGCATTTGTGGATTTCTGCAACTGAATTCTTTGTAGTCATAATTGTAGCAGTAGATATCAGAAATTTCATTTTTACTATAACGCCAAGCACAGATGAGGAGTCCACTTGCAAAGCCTTCTAAGTCAAGTTGGTCCATTTTTTAGAAAAATCTGATTTTTTGTTAGGCATAGAAAATATCTTCCATAGATACCAATTTTCACTATACTGAAACTATTAGCCTTGCAGACATAATCCTTGAGGCAATTCATTATTTTGTTTTAAGAAATGACTTTGATTTTGCAACACAAAGTTTTGACTTAGCAGGTTTTTAAAGTTGAGTGGAAATTTAGCAGGTTTTGACAGTGTTTAAACCAGCCCCGATGCTCAATAGGTGAAGGTATTTGACTCAGGACCCACTCTACGTGCAATAAATGCATTTTAAGACATGCAAGGATATCATTCGAACTCATAATAGTGTTCCTTATCTTTCAAGCTTGCGGAGCTTCCTTTTTGAACCCTTACGAGGAGATTTGTTTGCATTTTCTGCGATCAAAACGAAACTTGAGTCTGCATCCTCCATCTTGAGTTAGAGAAAGCAAAAGCTGAACAGGCTATAAAAGCTCGACTGTGATTGGTTCCTTCTAGCAAAAGAAAACGGAATCATGTTTCCACATTGGCTGATGACTTAGCAGAATTTGACAGTTTTCCTCCTTGACTTGGTGGGTTTTGACAGAGTTTTGCTTTTTCTGTTCCAATTTATAACATGATTTAGTAGGTTTTGAAAGTGGAGCTATCAGTGGAACATGCGCAGGTGCCTGAAAGAGAGGCTAAGGGAGATAACTCATTTATTTTCAAAGCTTGACTTAGCAGGTTTTGCAAGTGGACTCCTCAGATATCTGTAATACTTTTGCTACTCACAATGTATTTTGGATATTTAAAATTACATTATGGATATCTGGAATGGTTTTTCATTTTGTGAATCTGAAATCAAGTTTGCAACAGATGTATTGTAGGTACCTAACATTGGAGGCTTTCATAGTAAGAATTATGTTGCAGATATTGGATTGTGGATGTTGGAAAATTTAAAGCCTAATATGCATGAATAGCAAAAATGATGTCATTTGTGCCAGCAAGAATATGGATATCTAAAGTATCAATTGTTGATAGGAAGCATGTCATAGTGGATATTTTAGATGCTCTTTTTAACTAGGATGAATTGAATTATGGGTATCTTTTATACATATCCAGTCCAGCTAATGGCTATACTACTGCAATAAGTCCATCCTGTTGTAGCAAGGGCACTTCTCTGCACAGTGGTGAGCCACTGTACATCTCTGCTAACCTGTTGAAAGCAGGCCTGCACCAGGTTTTCGGGGAACAGGTTCCGGATCAGGTCCATGAAGGCATCCAGGCTGCTGACCTCCTGGTTTTTTGAGGCATAGTTGACCTGCCCTCCCCTCAGTTTGGGGTTCCCCGGATGGATTCCGATGACCAGAATAACCCCGAGCACGGCAGCAATGATTGTGGTGGACATGTAGTAGACCATGGCTCTTGTTCCCATTCGTCCACTGGAGCGTGCGTCCAGGCCAGCCAACCCTACAAAAGAGAAGAGAGGTGAGTGCAGCAGAAGAGGAGTATCTTCGATCACAGAGGTCTCCAACCACTGATTCTGGACCGGTTCCAGGCTGCAGAGTGTTTGCAACTGGGTCGCAAGAAAACAGACTTCATTACATAGGCTAATTATGTCAAATGCATTTCGTCAGTATGACAAAATTCTGTATAGCCGTAATTCAAGTTTTACCTCTCGCATGCACACACAATTTTGTCACATTCACAAATTTTCTTTGAACGTTCAGACAAAATGCTCTCACATTTCTCAACTTTTTTTTCACAGTTCTGAAAGTCTCAATATGAGCACTAAGAGCTGTCACTGCCAGTGAAACAAGCCATCATTTGTTGGAAAATACAAGCAAACTCATAAGAGTAAGGTAAAAAACATTAGAAGAGGGAACTATTTGGGACATTTTTAGGAAAAGACTTGATTGGTCAGCCCAGGAACACCAAAACACCCCAAAGACCACAGATAACATCCAAGGATGGTAGATGATAGAAAAATTATTTCTCTTCTTAAGAAAAGCCCCATTCCAACAGTGAAATGAAAGTGTAAACGAAAGTTCAATCAAGACACGTGGGAATGCCTTGGCAATTTCATTCACCCAATCGCAACCATAGGTCTTTTATTTAAACACCCATAACGTGTTTCCGTTCGCTGTTTGCAGAGATTTTGCATCACCCACCACCTCCCATGGATGTATTACAAGAACTGGATACTGAACCGAAAATGGCCGCCCATTCATTTCAATGGAAATTGCTGAGTGGCGCAGCACACCGACATGGGGCCTTATTTCTGGAGTCACGCGGACATGCGCTGCGTGACTTTTCGTTCACACATGCATAGTGTGGGGCTCATGAACGCACTGACGCCTGAGGTATCTATGGCAACGGTCCGCGCCCGAAGCACTCCCAGTCTCCCACACAAGACGTGTGTTCACAACCAAAACGCTCCGGAAATGTAGATAATGTCCACTGCGAAACCAATGCAACAGCTCAGTACCGAACGGCCAAACATGGCACTCGGCTTAAAAATAGTTTGGAAAAACAAATAATATATCTAATAGGGATATAAAATGTTGATTAACTATTTTTATTTAACAGGGAAATAAAATTATTCACTATCGCAAACAATGTTAGCAAAACAGTTGACTTGCTGCTCTATAAGATGGCATTTCAATCTCGTTTTCCACACAGTTCAAAGCAAAATGTATTCGTAGAAAGTGAGACATTTCGAGCTTGTTAGCTTGCAGCCTCCTCTATTCTTACTGGATTCAAGACGATAACCCAACCGCACAGAGCACTGCCCGTGCTTCATGAACTGATAAGTTTTATAGTAGATGACGTTGATCAAAGTATTTGGCCAATTCTGACAAGCGAAATTACTTTTAGTGTACGAATGCTCAAAGCTCATTAAATCCATGCTTTCTCTATAACTGGAACTGGAGCCCATCCCAGCTGACTCGTAGGGTGCACACACCATTCATTAAAATTTAATTATAATTTTTAATATCGCGAATGCAGATGTGACAGTTGAAGGGTCCTGTCACTAGAAATGTCTCCTAATAAGTACGCGCCCTGGCTACCTTGCCAATGAGCCTGGCTCTTTGGCGACGTGGTCAGCATGCATGACTCTTACCCGGGAGTCTGGGGTTCGATTCCCCGCCCGGGCCCTCCTTCGGCCTGCTACATTCTGGCGTAATCGGCAGGATCTGGGGGATCCGACTGGATGGCAGCATGCGTAAGGCATGGAGCGTGAGGACACGCTCCCGAAAGAGGGGGAGAGATGTGACAGTTGAAGGGTCCTGTCACTAGAAATGTCTCCTAATAAGTATGCGCCCTGGCTACCTTGCCAATGAGCCTGGATCTTTGGCGACGTGGTCAGCGCGCATGACTCTTACCCAGGAGTCTGGGGTTCGATTCCCCGCCCGGGCCCTCCTTCAGCCTGCTACACATATGCTGCGCATACTCTCGCAACCCAGTGTGTCATCTGTAACATAGCTGCTGCCATTTTACCATGTTTATCAGCACTAGAAATTAGACTAAATTTTCTTGACTAAATTCACGCTTGACGTTTTTACAACCCGAATGTTTCTCTGGGTACTCAAACTTCAAGGTAAGCTGAAAAAGTGCTGATTTTATTCGATATTAGTGTAGTTTGAATACAGAATTATTTTCCTTCCCCTTATACAGAATTAGCAAATTCCAAAGTCCTTTCATGATCAGCAGACCAGTAATAAAATATACATTAAGTCGATCTTCATTTCGTTCTCATCCGTTTCTTTCTTCTGAGACTCTTGTATTTGCTTGCGCAGATGGAGTTCAGCCTCTCCGCAGCACCACTCTCATACACTGATGCTGTTCACGAACAGTGTGTCGTTCACATCTCATCTTGTCAAGCTTCCACACACACAAAACTAAAATGAACTGAATGAAACACTGCCCGAAAAAAAAAAAAAAAACATAAATGCTGGGTAAACACTGGTTCTCAACATTGGTCCTCAGGGCGTCCACTGCATGTGGTTTTTTGATCCAACCGCTGTTAAATTTTAATAAGCAGTTGTTTTCTCCAGTTTAGGTGCATTTCATGTTTAGAGCAGTTATTTACCCTCTTACACCACAGGTAAACAGAAAAATCAGAACCACTGATTTTTAAGCGTATCCTGATCAAAGAATGCAAAATTTCACTTACGTTTTCCCAGTCATTTAAAATGGCTGTCTTGAAAAGCAGTCAACTGTTTTTCAACCCCAGTAAATTGGCAACTGCCCTCATGTCCTCGCTTCAAATGTTTTCAAACTCACACAGTTTTAACAGTTTGAGCTGGAACCAGATGAACATAAGTTTGAGTCAAAACTAGCCAATTAAGTTATGTTTCCTCCACTTACTAGCATTCTGTGACTACACATGCACTCGGAAAATTCCATATCTTAATGGGATGCAGACCTCCCCAATCCCCAAAAACAAAACATCAGAAGAGCCCCAGTCAGCTTTTTTGAATCTAATTTTTTTTCTGTTTTGTCTTCCCAAAGCTCATCTAATAAACTTGATCAATAACAGTAACGCCTCTCCCCAGACAAAATTAATTTATCTTAACTTGTAGTGATGCACTGCACTTCTCGACCAGGGAGTATCATACATGTGGATAACAATGTTCCCCAGGTCAGTTTGTAGATATTTTGGAGTAAAGCCAGAATTTTTGGTTTAACTGGTAGATAATTTCAAACAATGACCACTTTTTTTTAAAAATTACCGTTAACTACCGTCAGTTACGTTTTGATGAGCTGAAGAGGGGAAATTCATCCATCCATCCATGGAACCCCCATTCCTCTTGCTGTGAGACGTCAAAACTACCCAATGCGATGCACGACTGTGTTGCTGTGCTTGGAAGTAATGTAAAATTATGTCATGTTTCAATGTGATGGCACGCAGGCCATGCTACGTCTGGCTGCATTTGCTTTGGTTGATTTGCTGGTTAAAAAAAAAAAGTTAGTTCAAAATGTGGAAACATTTAATAGCATACATCCCCTTAGTTTAACAAACTCAGAATTTTGTGCTCAATAAAACAATATGTGTTTATGGAAGTTTTGGCTGTCCATAGCCTACTTTGATCATTTTCAAAATGCAAGAGATTCCTCTTGGGGTAGAGCTGCCTTTCCTTAATCATCTCAAAGAGCACTATCCTGTTTCTGGCATATGATTCATCGACTGTTTGAAGCAGAGTGAGTGAATGCGGGTATCCTTGATGATTGAATGCTTAGACTCACAAATCATGATATATACTGAGAGGCATTAAAAACGCAAAGTGGTTTTTATTGTCTAATTTGAAAACTGATAGTTTTTCCTTTTACTGATTGACATGATGACCATCAGGTATGGTAAGCATTGCAAAATGTCAAGTGTCTGGGTTTGAATCCTTTCTTGGTTTAACAGCTCATTATGATTATCTAATTCAGCACAGTTCCCTGGATCATGGTCGTGAATCACATTGGGAGAAATCATTTTGCACATGAAAAGTTGAAGATCAGGGCCAATAAAAAAACACATAAACAAAGTCACATTATTCCCACTTTAAATTCCCCAACCAAATGAATCTCGGAAGAATCAAACATTTTGAATGTTGAATGATGGCCAGTCTCAAAGAAAAGATTCTGGACGCATTAATGTCAATTAAATGACTGTATCCAGACTGCAGGGATGACACAGAATGACCAGATGTTTCAGCTGTCGTCCCCGACAAAAAGGCCATCTGTGACGCCACAAAAACACATTCCATAAAACGTCTTCTGCCATGTCAGATAATGCATAAGAACTGCTGAATTGACTGCCAATGTAATGATAACAGTGAGGGCAAGTCTCACTACTAAAAGCACAGTTTCCCGAGACCATGTTTTGTAACTACGAAAGAAACCATTTACCACTACTTGAAACAGTATATTTTATTATGCGTTTTTAATGCCTCTCAGTATAATTCATGTTTCTGAGATGGCGTAAGCCCAAATTAAATGTCCACTTTCAAGTAATGGGACATGACACACGGCAAATTATCCTGGATTGTTTGATCAATGTTCATAAAGCAGGAATCAGAGTGTTGTAACTTTAACATGATTTCAACACAATTATTTTGGTGGTATAGAGATACGGGTGAGCAGGTCTGGAAGACAGCTGATCCTAGCACTGAAATCCAGAGACTGTAAAAAAAAAAAAAATTGAAACAGGCTTGTGTGTCACAGAAAAGTGGAAAGGAGCACCCCAACCAGCAAGGGGTGCTGTGTATGCTGTCATTGCCTGCAGTGCGGTAAGTTCATCCCTCAAAAATAACCAACTGCGGAGGAAGGACATCAACGATAAAGATGTGAGCCAGAGCAGCTGTTTTTCATTTGCGTCCAGAATACAATCCTGGAAAACCAGCCATGAGTGGGCTGATGATGTTTGATCAAAGGGTTGTCGTCCTGAGAAACCCCTACTTCACAACAGCACGCAACTGCTCAGCTGTACGCTGCAGCCTCTCCGTACCAGGAACAATTTCACTCATCTTATTGGCCCAAAGAGCAACCCTGGTAGGCCCAGAGAGCGATGGTCAGAGTTATCATGAACTTATCTATCCATTGTCAAACTCTCTTATCCAAGGTCAGAGTTGCAATGAGGCCTGTGGCCCATCCCAGAATGCATTGCCGAAAAGGTGGAAATACCTCTTCTGCAGATCACTGATCCATCACTGGCTGGCCAGTGCACAGACTCTTTGAGAATAGGAGCTGAAATGAGTCAAAAACAAGTGGAAGAAATTTTCATCTATCTCTATCAAGGCAGGCATTCAATGCATCTAAATAGAACTCATTTTTTCACTGCTAGCCTTTGATAGCCTAATACATGCAAAATGAAGCACCATATGGAGGTAATCATCCTGTCACAATCCAACATTGTCATTGAGGCAGCTTATGCCACCGCGGCAAAAGTGAGGGGTGGTCACAGAGGGGCATGTTTCCAGAGAGGGAGGCAGGGATCGCAGATGGACGATGGAGGACTGAATTTTGGTGATTTCCCGTTGTCACAGACTCATGCAATGAACTGAATACAATTGCTAAGGCGACAATCCAGGCTGCAGGATGACCAAATCAATGAAATCTGTGAATCTGATGCAAGTGAAAGGGAAACTGTAAATTTGGTCAACAGACCTAGTTCAAGATCAGGTATGAGCAATAGCAGGGAGTTTGCTGAGAGGAAATTACGATACAGATTACGAACAGAGCTGCATAAATCCACCTAATTGATAAGTCTCCTCTGACATGATGCTACGTACTTCTAGGTGTTGGCAATGCAATGCCTGGTTCTTTTAACAAAGGAAAAATAATGTTAACATGATAAACAAAATGGTCGTCATTGTAGCGCTCAATGACTGTGTTGTAGCAGAACTTTTTGAAGCTCATGGGGAGTTCTTTCACCTGTCTGAAGCCATAAAACTAAACAAATGCTAGCTGCCGGATTGGCTCACTTGGTTAAGGAGCTGCGTTACGGAGCAGTAGTGACCACCACGACGTGGAGCAGCACACAATTGGCTTTGCGCTGCAGGGAAATAAATTGGGAAAGGATATTTAAAAAAAATAGTTGCTTTGTTTGTTGCTCAAGCGCCTCTGGTTGGCCAGCCAGTACACAGTTCTCTAATCAGGCATTCCAGATTCAGGTGGGATTGGAGATGCCAAATTTTTTAAAAAGAAAAAAAGCAGAGTGTATCCCCCGAACAATAGCATTCTCTCCATAGGCAAAATGTATACTTTGGCCTAGTGGTGGCGCTACAGGAAAGGGTATGGGCTCTAGACATCCAACCAGGGAGCCACTCTGGCCGTCAGATATGTTCACAGAAATGTTTTCCCAATTCCCGCAAGAACTTATTGACTTAGTGCATTTTTGAAAAAGTGACATTTGACTAAAATGTGGTGCTACAGGAATGGTCACAGTGTCACCAGAACAATAGGGTCGCGCCTTTATGCACCAAGACGTTCACTGCAAAGTTGATCAGATTTCCATTTGGACAGTTTCACCAACTGCATTTTTAGTTTCATTGAATGGTGACACTACAGTCAAACTCTGCCAAGGGTGTGCCTTGTCTCCTATTCTGTTCATGATTTTCATGGACAGGATATCAAGGCATAGCCGAGGTTTGGAAGGTGTCCAGTTCGGTGGCCTCAGGATTTGCAATTCAGCTGTTTGCAGATGATATGGTCCTGCTGGCTTTGTCATGCTGAGACCTCCAATGCTGAGCGTGAAGCGGTTGGAATGAGGATCAGCACCTCCACATCTGAGGCCACGGTTCTCTTTCAGAAAAAAAGGGTGGATTGTCCCCTTCAAGTAGGGGGTGAATTGTTACCCCAAGTGGAGGAGTTCTAGCATCTCGGGGTCTAGTTCTCCAGTGAGGGTAGGGTGGAGTGTGAGATTGACA